CAGGGGAATATTAATTCTCTCTCCATTTATTCTACAGATTATCACTCTCTCAGGCAATATTTCAGAAGGAGTGCAAATGTTTTCATCTCTTACTATTAGAGACTGATCAGCTCTCATATCTCACAATATTTTAACTTCTTTACGAACTCCCCTTGTTCTACCTGAGTAAACCTTACCCATGCAGACGAAGTCTTTGAAGAGATCGGGTGGTATCTTACTTTCCAGCTCCAGACTAGGCTGTGCACACTCCTGCAGCTCCTCGACTTCTCTTGGGATTTCCGTCACTATCACAACTAATCCCACTGGTTCATCATCTTTTACCACATCCTTTTTTCCAGTGCCTTTCTTAAACCATCAGCACTGTGACTTTGTGTGTCCCCCTCTATTACAGTGAAAGCACCTGAGGCCTTTCACCTCTTTTCCACCCTCTTGGGTTTCTTTTTTCACATGTGGTAAACTGTTTCCAGTGTGATCTACTTTTTCCCAATTTCTATCCCTCACAGAATGAAATTGCTGTCGGAAGCTCGGTTTTGATTTATGCACTAATGCGTATTCATCCGCCATCCCTGCAGTTCTTCTCCCTGTTTTAACTTTGTTCCTCAACATGAGTTCTTATCACTTCTGGAAGTAAGCTTTTAAACTCCAGCAGAATAACATTGTTAAGATTCTCGTATGTCTTTTCTATCTTTAATGCACTCACCCATCTATCAAAGTTGATGTGTTTAATTCTTTCAAACTTGATATAAGACTGACCTGGTTCCTTTCTTACATTTGTGAACCGTTGTCTGTATGCTTTTGGTATCAATTCATAGGCACTCAAAAGCGCCTGTTTTACTCCTTCATGTTCTCCTGACACCACCTCTGACAGCGCTGCAAACACCTCACTAGTCCTGCCTACTGACTTGGTTCGAATTAACGTTCCCGTATAGACTCCGGCAGTTCATCTGTTTAGCCAATTTCTCAAAGGAAATGAGAAAGGCTTCTACATTTCTTTCATCGAATTTTGGTAATGTTTTGACATATTTGTACATATCCCTACCAAGCTTTTGGCTATGATGGGTCTGCTCCTCATCACTGTCCTCCTCACTAAGCCTAACTTCCAACATCATGTCCATCCTTCTAAATTGACTTTCCTGTTTAATTGGCAACTTCCGAAGTTCACACTCTCTTTCTCCCTTTCTTTTCTCTTTTTCTTTTTGCTCAGCTGAGAACCTTCTTTCCCTGTCTTTATCTTCTGACATGGCTGTTCTTTCCCTTTCTTTCTCTTCTAACTCTAGTTGTCTTATTTGCAATTTAATTTTTTTCTACCTCCACTGCAATTGATTTCTTTCTCTGATATACTAAATGCTTAGCTAACTCTGTTACAATGTCAGCTTTCTTCTTATCCCTAGTTAAACCCCATTCTAGCCTGTCTGCTAATTCTAAAAGTGTCTCCTTTTTCTGTCTTTATGAACTTTCTTGGCAAATTTGGGAAGTATCTTCAACCCCCAAAACCTCTTTAGCACTGTTAAGAGCCATTTCCCCACTTTTGATTTAATCAGCAACGAGCAACCAAAATTAAGCAGATTTTCCACTTCTCACTTAAGTTTTATTTAATGATCTAGGACATTAATCCCCAAATCTGTTTAAATCTGTCCTAATCCCGGACCTAATCTGTACAACCTGTCCAAATCCCAGACCCGAGCTGGCCAGATCCCAGATGAGCCCACAATCTGTTATAAAGCAGATATAGACCCCAATAACACCAAGGGAGGAGCACCTCGCCCTCTAACCTGTTAAAAGAAGTGTGAGAAGGGGTGTAATCACTTTTTTTTTGCAACATCCAGTGGTTAAGTAAAATAAATCCCTGACACCTATTTTACAATTGACAAGTAACAATTTTATTTATTTAACTCTAACAGTGAAAAATTAACTAAATTATTAATAAACCAAATAAACCCCTTTTAACTGCTAACTATTCTTGAATAAAACAAGATTGTAATGGTATGCTGTTCCAATAAATACAAGTCCCACTTATGTAAAATAAAGTTTAAAAAAAAATTAGTTTCTCAAAATTACAGCCAGATTAAGTGTTCTGAAATGCTCTGTGCCTTCTCCGTCGAATGTTCTGTCAGGAATATTAACTAAATGTGCTGTGAGTACCCTTGATTTAGATGGTGCTTTCTCTAAAATGTTGAGAAGACTGTGAGAGCTAGTGATTCTCTCTTGAAAGCTGAGAGCTATTAACTCTTGCAGATGGCAGTTGGCTCTCCCATCTTTGCCTGACGGCCCCTCCTTTTATACCCTTGATGACATATCAATATTTCTTATAATAGCATTGGTCTTATGTTGTCAAAATGATCAGATTTAAATTTAATTAGTTTTTGGTATCTATGTGCATGGTTCAAATTAATTAGCTAAATTCAAATCTTGTCTTGATAACAAAACAAAGCTGCTGCTTGGGCCTGCTGACTGTACAGCCTTTTGATACAAATGTTTCAGTTCGGGTGCTCTGTGCACCTGCAAACCCACAAGCTCCTGCCCACAGACATCCTTTCTGAATCTATAAGCATAGAAAAAGCACATCATCTTTTAAAGGGACCACACACTACCTCTCCCCCCGCTCCCCAGCATTTTACAGACACCCAATATTTTACAAAACACCAAATCCTACCATCCAATCCACAAATATTCTGCCCAACTTTGCAACAATGAGCTTTAATTTAAAGACAGCTTGTTTCTGGCCCGTGTTTCTAATCATTAGACTGTTCGTGAGATTGTACTATGATCAGTCTTCCCTAGAAGATTCTTTACTATGAGATCAGCCAGCAATCATGTCTCATTATACATTACTAGATGTAAATAACCTGTTCTCTTGAAAAGGCTGGTTTTAAAATGTATTTATCCAAAATACACGGTCAAAACTAATCCTCAAAGCTGCCTTTGCCAGTTCGATTTGTCCAATCAATATGAAAATTCAAAGTGCACATGATTATTGCAGAACCTTCTTTGAAAGCCCCTGTTGCCACTTGATTAACCTCCCTTCCAGTGCAGCTATCATTAGATGGCCTACAAACTGTTCTCTCAAGTGATCTCTCTGCCTTGCTATTTCTTATAATACCTTTGAATATTCAGTTTCCAGTCTTGATCACTTTACAGCCACCATGTCATACCCATTTATTTCCATTTGTGACATCTGTTCATCCATATTTTTAACAAAACAATGTACGTTTTAACATAAATAGCTTTTAATTCTGTATTTTTACACATTTTTCCTGGCTCTGACCCTAATAGTCTATGCACTCTTAAGCTTGTCACATTCTGTCCCTTCTGGTCACATTCTGATTTTCATTATTCATGTTGGTGCGCTGTCGTGTTCCCTTGGCCTTTTTCAGTAACTTGCTCAATCTCTGTTTTACCACCAACCACGATATTTAGCTTATAGCTTAAAGTTCTGTACGAACCTGTTAATGTAATTCATCAGGTTACTGATGTCAAAGTGAAGACTGGCTCAATGATATGGCTTCCTTTTTCCCCAGCACTAGTGTTAGGGATCCATGAACCAAATGCATTTCTCTCGCATCAATCTTTGAACCACAAGTTCAACTCCCTTATTTTATGTTTGCTCATTGTTTAGTTAGTAATCTGGCAATAGTTATCTTTGTGATTCAGTTTTTTAATGTAGCCCTTAGTTGCTCATTCTCCCTTAGCAAAGCCTCCTTAGCTCTATATGGAACACGGTGACTGGATTCTTCCCCACCGCCCACTCCAAGTTCCTCTCCAGCCTCAAGGAGTTTTCCTTAACTCTGGCAATGGGACTCTCTCTTTGAGTTGCAGAGAACTTTGTTTATCCCCTTAACTTTACTGTCTCTTATGTTCCTTTGTTCTCCTCCATTTGAACAGCCCTCATGTTGCTGTGGTCAGCTTGCTCATCCACCCTGCAAGCCCTGCTTTCATCCACACAAGCTGCAAGTGCCAGAAACCTGGACTAGTGCAAGGGCCGAGGCTCCTCCAGTGCTACCTTCTGGATCTTGCCTCATTTGTTATGTCCCCTAGACCCTGCATGTACTGAAGTACTGAATCCGAGCAGTCTGACTACCTCCTGGAACAAAGTGCCAGGTAACTTTCTTCCTCCTGATGCATTACTGTGTCTGAAGCTCAAACTCCAGCTCATTGATTCTGAGCTGAATCTGTTTGCTCCACATTTAGTTGTGCATCACTGGTATTCACCAACTCCCACATGCTACACCTGCAATACACCATGTGTCCGTCATCTCTATTGTGTTTTTTTTTAAAATCTAATGATTTCAAGTTTTGAAATATTACTCTAAGATTACTGTAGGTCCTATTAAGTAGTTAATACAAGCATTAAATCTCCCCTGACCTGGTTTAAACTATTGTGCTGTTTTAGAGAAAAAATAAAACCATCACCAACAGTTGCCTACTTGCCTATCTAATCAATACCTCTTGACCTCAGCTCTTGGGTCTCACAGTCTCTCTGTCTCTAAGGCAATGGCCAAACTGAAACTGTACCTCTTCCATCACTGTACCAAATTTTCTCACTCACCCAGTTTCTTGTTGAGCGCTCTGTAAAAGCTGTATCCTGTTGTGTTGTCACTGTGCTACCCAGACATCACCATGCCCTTGCGTGTTGAGTCTGATACACTTTGAAAGTTCACAATAATTCCAGGCTGGAGAGTAGGTTCTGGCACACACTGCCATTAAATCTCACTTCCATTTGGATTTCCTGCATATTTCCCTGCACAGGGAGTTCTGGAATGCTCTGCTTGAAAGAGCAGTGGAATCTGATTCATTAGTAACTTACTAAAGGAAATTGGATAAATTTTTGAAGGGGAATTATAGACAGGAAAGAGTGGGGAGATGGGACTAAATGGATAACCCTTTCGAAGAGCCCTCAGGCATGATGCTCTGAATGGCCAGCTCCTGTGCTTTACTGTGGTGAGCCTCCCTGTACAGACCGCCCCATTCTCCTACCTTTATAACAGTGTCCTGTTCTTCAGCCTCAGAGCAGGACGATGTCCTTATCGTTGACTCAGATGAAGAGATGCCCTCGTCCAGTGGAACGGAGACTAACATGGATAGCCGGAGCCTGAAGAGAAAACTGGAGGGTGAGGCAGAAAGTCTTGGTGTTAAGCGGATATGCACTGAGCAGGAAGAGGAGGAGGAGGATGATGTCATTGCGTTGGATTGAGCGACACGATAACAACTCGTGCTGCTCTTGTAGTCGTAGCACCACACTGTGTCGTCAGTTATGGTGGGCTGGGTGGGGGAAACGACGTCAGCACAGAACCTAACAAGCCACAGCCTTAAATAACTGATTGGCTGGTGGGGCGGGGGGGGGACTCCACCAACGGCTGAGAGAGTCACACCATCCAGCAAGTTCTGATAGCAATGTCAACCACGTTGCTGGATATAAACTGATACCCAAATCTTCTGGTTTGCTGTACAATATAATTCTGTTCTCAAGTTTTATTTCTCTCCCCCCTCTTCCCTGGCTCTAATGCTACTTACAGAATTCGCTGTTAAAGTATTAAAAATGTTCCTGTTTGTACAACAGCGGCGACATGTTTTGTAAATTGCTGTAAACACTTCATTTACCCCAAGCCTGTTTGTACTTCCTGATATTATAGCCCCTTTAATCAGATCGAGGGGCTTTTCCTTGTGTCTTGTTACAGTTTGTAGTTATTTATACGTGACTTTTGTATAACACAAATATCTTAACTTTTTTTGTTCACACTTTAAGTGGATTTGAATCATCCCAATGGTCAGGCTAAAGCTCCCAGTGCTGGGGTCCTGAGTCAGACTGCCTCCAGGCAATGTCCACAGCATGATTCCTGGCAGAGTGGGAGTCGGATTGTATGGGGTGGATATGGGCTGAGATGGGGACATAGCATTATCAGAAGAAGAGTCACCTGCTCTGTAGTTTGGGGAGGGTAGAAGAAAAATGTAATTTCCATTTGGACCGTTCTAGAACCTTTACTGATCCAATTGACCTGTTCAGTGTTGAAAGAGCGGTTACTGCGGATGTGTAGCTAAAAGTATTTTTGTAGCAAATTGAGATTGTCGTTTCAGTAGGTTTTTTGTATCTGAATTGACTGTAAAACGTACCGAAAAGCTTTGTTACAAATGGCAATTTTCATGATTAAAACATTCACTGTGTACAGTTTTTGTCTTCAGTCCACAATTGACTTCCTCAACCATTCTGCAGCACTCCCTGAAAGTACTCACACTTGGCCATACATACCTTTGTGTTGTTGTGTTTAGGTTTGTGTCTGTTATCTAAATATTGGAGGGGGAACAGTGTATAGAATTTTGAGTTTCTTTCTCCTTGTCTGGTCGGAGGGGGAAATACACTGTTACCTTCACCTTCCTTTGCTTGTGTGGTGAATTTTTGTCACCTGTTTGCAGAGTGAACACGCAGGCCTAATGTAATCTTGTTCATACCTGCATACTGCCAGTTTGATGGTGAAAGAAATGGATAACTCCTGCCTGAAGCCTCCTGCCTGAAGCCTCCTGCCTGTGAAGTGATGCTGAATGTTTTCAGCCCTGTCCATTACTGGACCAATAATCCAGAGACCCAGAATGTCGTGGGAACCAGGGTTCAAAACCCACCACAGTGGATGTTGGAATTTGAATTCAATAAAAATCTGGAATGAAAATTCTAATGACCATAAAGTCATTGTCAATTGTTGGAAAAACCAATGCAGTTCACTAATGTCCTTCTGAGAAGGAAATCTGTCATCGTTACCTGATCTGACCTGCATCTTGGGCTAGTGTCAAAATTAGGAGAGCTGTCTCTGACTAGTCAAGTAACAGCCTGACAGTCTTGTAGTCATACCTTTATAATGTCCCAGAAATCACCTTAATCATCCTTGGATTATGACCCATCCCATTAGCAAGACATGACCTGCAGAGCTGGCAGTGCTGTGGTATACAGGCAGGAAGGAGTTGCCATGGACATCCCTGTGGCATCAGGTCAAACATTTCATAGATCATAGCATCCCTTCAGTGTGGAAACAGGCCCTTCGGCCCAACAAGTCCACACTGACCCTCAGAGCATCCCACCCAGACCCATTTCCCCCTATAGCCCACCTAATCTACATGTCCCTGGAACACTATGGGCAATTTAGCATAGCCAATCCACCTAGCCTGACTTTGGACTGTGGGAGGAAACTGGAGCACCCAGAGGATCCCATGCTGACACAGGGAGAACGTGCAAGATCCACACACAGCTGCCGAAGGGTGGAATTGAACCTGGGTCCCTGGCGCTGTGAGGCAGCAGTGTTAACTACTGTGCCACCCAAACATTTGTAAGACATCCTACTGCTGCTTACCATACACTGACCTCCCTCAGTACATGAGTATACTTCTCTGTGTTGAAGGAAGTTCTGAGGGTGATGGATGCAGAGTGTACTTTTGGATTTCGATGTCCACCACAAAAGTGTGGCTTGGCAGCATCATTACAGATCAAGCTGTTCAAATCCTAAAGGACATAGCTGATAGATTGGGAATCAGCAAGTAGGGCAAAACATGTTTGACCTCATCTTCAGTCTGCCTGTCACAGAGGCACCTGTCCATAACAATATTGCTCAGAGCAGCGTAGTCCTTGTGGAGACAAAGTCCAGCCACATTCTTAAGAATACTCTCCATGGTGCTGTCTGGCACGGTCACTATGCTAAATGGGATAAATCTGAACAGATCGAACAGTTTATCGCTGGACTTCCACAAGGGTGGTCAGTAACAACAGAATTATATTCCAACTAATTGCCTGGCATCTTTCCCAACTCTGTTGTTACATGGTTCAATGGAGGTGGTGTCAGGAACAGCACCAGGTCCACCTAAAAATGAGGTGTTAACGTGATAAAGCTGCAAAATAAGAATAAGAGTGTGCTAAACAATGTCAACAATAAGTGATAAACAGAGCTAAGTGATTCCATAACCAATGGGTCAGATCTAAGCTTTCCAGACCTGCTACTCAATAAACTCAACACCATCCAGGACAAAGGAGCCCACTTGACTGGTACTCCCTCTACCATCGACCCTCAGTAGCAGCAGTGTGTACCATCTACAAGATGCACTGCAGAAATTCACCAAGGCCCCTTAGATAGTTTCCAAACCCATGTTGACTGCCTTCTAAGAGGAGAGGGGCAGCAGACAAATGGGAACATCACCACCTACGAGCCACTCACCATCCTGACTTGGAAATATACCGAGACAACAAGGTGCAGGGCTGGATGAACACAGCAGGCCAAGCAGCATCATAGGAGCAGAGAGGCTGACGTTTCGGGCCTAGACCCTTCATCAGAAAAGGGGGAGGGGAAGGGGGCACTGTTCCTTCGATTTCACTGAGTGAAAAACTTGGAACTCCCTCCCTAACATCATTGTGGGTCTATCTACAGTACACAGACTGCAGCAGTTGAAGAAGGCAGCTCACCATCATCTTCTCAAGTACAACTAGTAAATGCTGGCCCAGCCAGTGACACATATATCTGGTGATTAAATTTTTAAAAATGTGTTGAGATTGGCTTGGATATTGGTGAAATTTTATGTGCCCAGCCTTTATTCAATGTAAATACACTGTCGTTTTCCAGAAGTGATTATTGAGGCTTTGTGGATATAGTACTCTGGGTATACCACTGGACTAGTGACCCAGAGCTTGCAATATTGATCTGAAGTTGGACTTCAATTGTTCAAGAAAGGGGCTCACCACCACCTTCTGAAGGGTAATCAGGAATGAACACTCAATGCTGACCTTGCCGGCAATGCCCACATCCCATGAAAAAAATAAAAAGAGTTCAAATCCCACCACATCAGCTGAATTAAATAAAGCTGGAGCAGAAATCTAGTATAAGTAATTACCTCAAAACTACTGCATTGTTGTAAAAAAAAATCATTCACTGATGTCCTTTATAGAAGGAAATCTGTTGTCCTTACCCAGACTACAGTCACAGCAACATGGTTACCAATTGGCCCCTCTGAAGCAGTTGAGTAAGACATTCCATTGTAGCAAACAACTCAGATTCCGGCAGTTCAAGGTGACTCATCACTTTCTCAAGGACAACTGGGAATAAGGCAAACAGCCCCATGCCATGAATGAATAAAAATAAAAATCAGTTATTCATCAAACATCTGAACATGGTGTCATAAAAATAATTTCCTGACTATTTCCTGCAGTAGTTAAGTTTAGATTCTTAAAATTAGACTCAGGATGATGTCAGGAATTGCTTCTTCATACAGAGTAGTCAGAATCTGGAATTCTGTCCCAGAAAGCTGTGGACCAATTGAAAATTTCCAAAGAGGTTAATGGTTAGAAAGGGTTATGAACCAAAGATAGGTAGATGGTGTTGAGAAATGGATCAGCTAAAATCTAATTGGGGTACTGGTTTGAACAGCTGAATGGCCTTCTGTTCCTATGTTGATTCACAAATATGGTTGAAGTGGGGGTAAGCAGCTGATTGAATTGCTATGTGGAGAACCAGAATAGACTTGATTGGCTGAATGGCTCCTAGTTCTGTAATGACTATGACTCCAACACAAAAGGCGACTATTCAACCCATTGAATCTGTGTTGGCTCTTTTGACAAGTCCATTGAGTCACACTCCTGGGCTTTCTCCACATGCCAGCAATGTTTTCTCCCACAAAAATATCCAATTCCTTTTGGAAAGATAGCACTAAATCTCATTGCACACACATTTATTTTAAACTTCTAATCTGTTTTGGGGCATTCCCAGAGACTGAATTGCTCAAAATTGGGATAACAAGGTGTAGAGCTGGATGAACAGAGCAGGCCAAGCAGCATCATAGGAGCAGGAAGGCTGATGTTTCGGGCCTAGACCCTTCATCAGAAAACCTTTTCTGAAGAAGGGTCTA